CTCACCGGGCGACACTGCTCCTCGGTGAGAAGGGTCTCCTTGTTCTCCTCGGGGAGACACTCCAGGGCGTCGAAGTAGAGCCATTGGGTGATGGGCGTGAACTTCCCCGACACCGCCTGGGTCACGTGACACCCCCAGAGGTCACGTGATCCCGCAGGGTCACCTGATCCCCCCCAGGGGTCCCAGGTGTCCGGGGGGAGCCATGAGCCCCCAGTCCCCAGCCACTGGGGGAAACTGGTCCCAGTATGGGGTGGGAGAAGGGGAATTGGGAGTACTGGGAGGGACTGGGAGAGACTGGGGAGGGGACCCAGAGGTCCAGGGGGAGCCATGAGCCCCCCAGTTCCCAGCCACAGGGGGAAACTGGTCCCAGTATGGGGGGGGGGAAAGGAAACTGGGAGTACTGGGAGGGACTGGGAGAGACTGGGGGGAGCCACAAACCCCTCAGTTCCCAGCTGTAGGGGGAAACTGGTTCCAGTATGGGGTGGGAGAAGGGGAACTGGAAGTACTGGAAGGGACTGGGCGTACTGGGAGGGAACTGGGAGGGACTGGGGAGGGGACCCAGAGGTCCAGGGGGAGCCATGAGCCCCCCAGTTCCCAGCCATAGCAGGAAACTGGTCCCAGTATGGGGGGGGGGAAGGGAAACTGGGAGTACTGGGATGGACTGTGAGTACTGGGAGAACTGGGAGGGACTGGGGGCAAACTGGGAGGGACTGGGGAGGGGACTGGGGTGTCTGGGGGGAGCCACGAGCCCCCCCCGTTTCCAGCCACAGGGGGAAACTGGTCCCAGTATGGGGTGGTGGGAAGGGGAAGTGGGAGCACTGGGAGTTACTGGGAGGGAACTGGTCGTTACTGGGCGTTACTGGGAGGCCCCCCCGTACCTTCATGACCTCCTGTGCCGCCAGCCCCCCCAGGAAGCTGGTCCCAGTATTGGGGGTGGGGGAAGGGGAAGTGGGAGCACTGGGAGGGACTGGGTGTTACTGGGCGTTACTGGGAGGGAACTGGGGGTGTTACTGGTGGTTACTGGTGGTTACTGGTCGCCCCCCTGTACCTTCATGACCTCCTGGGCCGCCAGCCCCCCCCCGGAAGCTGGTCCCAGTATGGGGTGGGGGAAGGGGAAGTGGGAGCACTGGGTGTTACTGGGAGGGACTGGGAGTTACTGGGATCACTGGGCGTTACTGGGAGTTACTGGGAGGGACTGGGGGTGTAACTGGGTGTTACTGGGAGGGACTGGGGGTGTTACTGGGCGTTACTGGGAGCCCCCCCGTACCTTCATGACCTCCTGTGCTGCCAGGCCCCCCAGGAAGCTGGTCCCAGTATGGGGTGGGGGAAGGGGAACTGGGATCACTGGGTGTTACTGGGAGGGACTGGGTGTTACTGGGAGGGAAGTGGGCGTTACTGGGCGTTACTGGGAGGTAAGTGGTCGTTACTGGTGGTTACTGGGACCCCCCCGTACCTTCATGACCTCCTGCGCCGCCAGCGCCCCCTGGAGGCTGGTCCCAGTATTGGGGGTGGGGGAAGGGGAACTGTGGTCACTGGGCGTTACTGGGAGTTACTGGGAGGGACTGGGGGTGTTACTGGGAGGTAACTGGTGGTTACTGGTCGCCCCCCCGTACCTTCATGACCTCCTGGGCCGCCAGCCCCCCCAGGAAGGCGTTGACGGGCGCCAGGTCCCCGCAGGCCTGAAAGGCCAGTTCCCGCAGCAGCTCCGGGTCCAGGGGGGCCCCCGGGGCCACCTCCCGCGCCAGCGCCAGCAGCGCCCCCGCGTCACCCTGGGGGGGGACAGGGGTCACGGGGTCACGGGGGGACACGGGG